GGGAGGGGAGTCTCAGGTTGTAGTCAATCTGTTGGCCACCAAGTTGGTTTTCCCCTGTACTAGTCTTTTTATTTTTTCTTAATATATTTTTATTGATTTCAGAGAGGGAGGGAGAAACATCAATGATGAGAATCATTGATCGGCTGCCTCCTGCAAGCGACACACCGGGAATTGAGCCCACAACCCAGGACTGTGCCCTGACCGGGAATCAAACTCTGACCTCCTGGTTCATAGGTTGACGCTCAACCACTGAGCCACGCCAGCCGGCTGAACTAGTCTTCTTGAATGCACAGAACCTTGAAGCATCACTGTGCTCACTGCTATGGTATGAAATGTGTGTTCCTCCAAAAATTCATGTTGAAAACCTAATGCCCAAGGTGATGGTATTAGGTGGGGCCTTTGGAAAATGATTAGGTCATGAGGATGGAGCCCTCATGAATGGGATCAGTCTCCTCATAAGAGAGGCTCCAGAAGATCCCTCACTCCTTCCACCATGTGGAGGATACCAGAAATCTGCAACCAGAAGAGGACCCTCACCTGACCACACTCGCTCCCTGATCTCAGCCTTCCAGGCTCCAGAATTGTAATAAACTTCTATTGTTTATAAGCTACCCAGACAGTGGCATTTTGTTATAGCAGCCCACATGAACCAAGATACCCACCGTGGTAGGAGACAACATACTGCACCAATTTTCATTTCAGGGAAATTGGTGAGCAGATACGTTAAAGCTTTAGGTTACCTCATCAGCAGTAACCCTACCATTATCCACAGACAGTACATGACCTCCACCAGGATGATGAAGGCCCGGGACAGTAGCTCTTGGATTCGTTTTGGCATTGGCAGGGCCTGGGAACACCCGACATCAGCCCTGCTGCAGTTCTCTGGGTACCAGTACAGCATATAGGCCCTGACAGGCAGGGAGCTCGAGATGGGAGTGAACAGGACAGTCACCCATGATGTAGTGTCCTTCCTAACCTGGATTTCCAGTCTCTCTCAACCTTGTTCAGTTAAGAGATGAGAATATGGAACTGAGTGTGAAAGGCCCAGCTGTGATTCATGCTGGCAGCCAGTCTGCAGTCTCCTGAGCCAGAGCGCCAGAACTCCTCATCTGTTTCTGGAAATGTGTGTCCATCTCCGCAGGAGCAGAGGTCCCAGAACCCCAGGCTGAGTGTCAGGGCCTTTGGAGGGAGGAGGCAACCTGGACTTAAGGTCTGTGAACAGCTGACAGGCCTTGCGGTAGCCTAGGCACAGTAGCCAGCAGTTCTCAGACACCAGATGACCTCTGACCAAAAGGGGAAGGACAAATCCTGACTAATTTCTCCATAGGTATGATTTGCCTTAGTTTGGTTTCCCCAGAATTAGATGAAATTTGAGCTGTCCAGAAGGAACTGAGAAATGGGGAGAGGTCAGCAGGAGGAAAGGTGGGGCACAGCCAGAGTTCTGCTGGGCTAGGAACCAGATCCTCCCTGCTCTGAGTTGCTCCCAGGCTTGCTTCTCACAGCAGACAGTGCCCCGCAACAAGGCAAACAGGCCCTCGATAAGCTCCCCATAGTTCCCTCCATGCCCTTTCACTAGGCTATGCCTTGCAGTTTTCTTCTACCCATCAAGTTGCTTTACTGTTAGGTCTTTGTTCATGCGGATCTGTCTGGAATGACTCCTTCTTTGCCCTTTCCAGCCTTTCCACCTTTAAATTACACCTCAGTCATCACCAAGGCTTGGGGAGCCTTCCTGGGTAATTCCTCCCGGCCCTAACCCCAGCTGGGTGTGGCCTATCGGTCCTATAGTGTCAGGTGTTTTCTCCCATCTTTGCATTGATAACTGTGGACTCCAAGCACATGCTTCCTACTCATCTTCAGAACTCCAGAGCCCACTTCTAGGCCTGACAAGGAATAGGATGTTAATTTTTGTTAAATTGAAGAGCCTTCCCACAACCTCAGTAGTCCAGGGCTTTTGAAACTGAGAGGGAATCAGAGCCTGTGCCACACAAGCCTAGAGAAGTGCTATGGCAGAGTCACAGGTTCTTGCAATAGGACCATGTGGGTATGTACTAGAATGGTGAGTACCCAGGAGAAACGGGTAAGGCACTGATTCGGGTAAGGCACTGATTCTGTTAGAGCAGTGGTTCTCAACCTTCTGGCCCTTTAAATACAGTTCCTCATGTTGTGACACAACCATAAAATTATTTTCGTTGCTACTTCATAACTGTACTGTTGCTACTGTTATGAATCATAATGTAAATATCTGATATGCAGGATGGTCTTAGGCGACCCCTGTGAAAGGGTCATTCGACCGCCAAAGGGGTCGCGACCCACAGGTTGAGAACCGCTGTGCTAGAGGGCTAGTGGAAGGATGAAAGGGAAAAATCATAAAGCCTAACACAGAGAAGTCCCCTTTTCTTTCCCAGTTTATGGAAACCACTTGTGAAGTTCATGGAGCTTCCTAGATCTCCATGAGTCCACACTTGCAGTCCAGGGCCTTCCCATCTTGGAAGAAGCAAAAAGCCCACCAAGACCCCAAGGAGAGCTCTAATTGCCGAGGGTTCAAAGGTGCTATGGAAAGCTGGCGGTTGATGGAGCTAAGGTAGAGGGCTTGCTCCTCTAAGAACTGTATCTTCCTGCATCTGCACCCCACCTCTCTCTCTGGCTTTTCCACCTCTCACTGTAACACTACTTATGACATACAAAACTAGCACCTTGTTTAATAGCAACTACTGTCACTTCCTCACCATCCTCTATGTGATTGATACTATGCCTTTATACACATTATCTTAACTCTGAGAACCCTGTAAGATTTTTTCCCCCGTTTTATGGACAAAGAAACTAGATCTCAGAGAGGTTAACTTTTATCAGAAGCAGGGGTTCAGACTCAGGTTGATGTGATACTCTCCAATGACTATCTCTTCACTGTCTCAACAATGCCCTCCCACAGGACCACTGGAGTAATAAGACAAATCAGCAGCCTGTACCAAAAACCGTGGGGGGTGGGGAGGGGACACTGGGGAGTTGCTGTTTCCCCTTGACTCCCCATTGGCTAACAAAAAGCCTATTGTTCCTGGTCCTGCTTATTCCACACCCGCCTCCAATAATTTGCCACTGACCCATGTTCTAGTAGACTGCTCAATTTTAAGCTAAATAATTCACTTTGTAGAATCAGCCTTTCTCTTTTCTTATCTTTAGGCAAGAGATAACATACTATCCCCTATTTATAGAACTCTACCTCCAATAAATTTCTATTTAATGAGAAGACTAGTGAGAGTTAAGCTAATGGGACATAATTGATAAACTAATTTTCATTAGAAGGCAAACAGGAAAATAATCAATACTAGAATCAAAATATGACATTTTCTTTAGGAGTGAAGAGGAGGGGCACTGTAGTGTCACTGCCATGGACCAAAAGTGGCTTTATTTGTTCTCAGCCTTTGTTTCCTCATTTGAAAACTGGGAAGGATAATATTACCTCACAGGATTGCTGTGAGGATTAAATGAAGGTACATACATTGCCTGAACCATAGTAGTTGCTCAAAAAATAACTGCTATTATGTGATGCTGGCCTCAATGTCAGGGCACCAAGACATGGAAGGAATAGAAAGTGAACCTACCATCCTGCCTTCTACCTCAAAGATCTTGCATGCAAGGCACCCAGACGGGAAACAGTGCCTTCCCTAAAGGCCTGTGCTGGCCTTCCATCCTAGCTCTCTCTCAACTCCCCAGTCTAACACACACCTCATTTTCATTTTAAATAAAGGAAAAGGTAACTTTGGACTTGATAAATCAGAAGTTAGAAAAGTCTGTGTCCCTGTTCGTCCTGTCCCAGGATCCTTTCCTGCTCAGCAACCATCTCCCACAGTCTTTCATTACATCTTCAATTCTGTTTGGGCCAAAGCTAGCTTTTCTAACATCGTCCTCAGGTAGTTGCTTCTACCATCCAACACGCTCCACAACAGTCTATGCACTGAGAACAGACCACATCTCTGTTCTGCTCTGAAAGCTCCTGGGCAATGTGACTGAGAATGTGTACTTCCTACTAATGTACTTAAAACAGAACCTATTTCCTGTTACTTCTATGACCTCTGACAGTGGTTTTAACAAATGCATATCCACTGGTTAATCTACAAAGGAAAATTATTGCATAGGAACTAAAAATAGTGTTCACTTACAAATTCCTGGGAAGAATGGCAGGAGAGATCTCTCAAAGGTCCTATGCTGTGGGAGTTCTCTTTTTTTAATTCTCACTCAGGGATATGTTTAGAGAGAGGAAGAGAGAGAGAAAAACATCGATGTGACAGAGAAACATCAATTGTTTGCCTAACCATCCATGCCCCCAACTGGGGATCAAACTTGCAACCTAGGTATGTACCCTGACCGGGAATCAAATTTGCAACCTTTTGGTGCACGGGGGTGACGCTCCAACCAACTGAGCCACCCAGCCAGGGGTGGCTGAGAATTCTTAACTGGGTGAGGCAATGAGATGAAGTAATAGGTCATTGAATGATAGGGATAGCAGAATAAGGAGTAGGATTCAGTGAACTGGCACCTTGCAGAATGATGTCAGAAAAGATCAAGGAGCCAGTGTGGCTCAGTGGTTGAGCATCGAGCTATGAACCAGGACGTCACATGCCTGGTCAGGGCACATGCCTGGGTTTTGGGCTCCGTTCCCAGTGGGGAACATGCAAGAGGCAGCCGATCAATGATTCTCTCTCATCACTGATGTCTCTCAGTCTCTGTCTCTCTCTTTCTCTCTCCCTTCTGCTCTGAAATCAATAAAAATAGATTAAAAAGAAAAGGTCAAGGGAATAATCACATAGTGTTCTGGAACTGCACACTATACATTCAATGAATATAGGTAGGATATCAAAGACTAGTAAAATATTTCATTCAGAAACATGTAACTTATGAGTCTGAGAACAAGCCCCACAATTAAAATATCTGTACCCAAAACCTTATAACACAGAGAGGGGAAAGGAAGATCTCCCTCTCATTGAAATAAGATTTCATACAAACATATATAAATATATTTAAATTTTCTTTTAACTATAAGTGAATTCAAACAGGCTGTTATAAAACCGAACACTATGTACAATTGTCTGTATAGATCACAGAAAACACAAAAACCAGAATGCTGAGTGGGTGCTCGTGGTGGAAAATGCCCATCAAAACTTGCTCAACAATGAACTGGGAGCCATTAAAGCTTAATGACCATGGTCCATCCTTATTGCTAATGGTTTTGTCAACCTTCGGACCCTAGAAATTCAGGATTTTCTCCTCCTTCCTCTGCCTGCTTTGGACCGTGTCCGGCTACCTGGCCGGACAGTAAACTGCTTTTTAAAGTCCACTAAGCAATCTGTGGCTTCTGAAATGGAAACAAAAGACTTGATGGGAGACTCATTTAAGTCAAGATGTGCAAGGGAACTCTGCATCTCTCTGCTGCAGCCTGCCTCTTCCATCCCTGGTGAGGGTACCCTAGAGAGAAAGGAAAAATTTCAGAATTCAATATCACCTCCTAATAAACACTAAGCATGCATCATGCATTGTAGCAGGGGTTTTTACATATATTATTAATTCACATAATCTTTGTAATCATCCAACCAAATAAGTAATATCATTCCCCTTTTACAGATGAGGACATTGGGTAAATCATATACCTTTAAAGCCACACAGTTATGCAGTGAGAGAATGAGGACTCAGATTCAAATTCCCAAGCTGCTTGAAATCCAAGTCAGAAGAGCAGGGTTGAGTGGAGATAGAGAGGTAGAGAGGAGTAAGAAATAGTGTTTGCTCTGTTTGTTTTAACACCATTAGTGAACTGAGCTATTATTCCATTCTTAGCCAAGATATAGGGGGTCACAGAGGCAGAGAGAGAGAGAGAGATCTACAGTGATTTCTACCTTCTACATTTTGACTATCACACTATACACAGAACCCAGGACTAGGCCTCTACTTCTCTAGAACTGCTGACAGCTGCACTTCAATGCACACCCCAATTCACCTGAAGGCCACTATTTCTGAAGACTTGGGCTTTATCTCTGCATCTGTGATAGGAGAGAAAAAGTAATAATGTTGTTAGTAGTGTTGTAGTCATAGTACTTCTCATTGATCATGTGCTTCTTGTATTCTGGGCACTGCTTTTCATCAGGCTTGTCCATGTGGCTACAGACTAATCCCCAATCCCCAGTCTAATGGAATGTGAGCATTTAGGATCCAACACTCAGCTGCAGAAGTACTGAGGTGAACACTTTTAAATGAACAACCTCTGAATAAATCTACTTCAAATCTGGACTTGAGGAACTAGGAGTTGCCAAGGGAAATCTGACTCCTACAAAGAATCACAACCTGCTGATCTGGAGACAGCAGGACATGGAACTCAGAGAGGCTGCCTTTTTTAGAGTCATCAGAAAGGCTTAAGCAACAGTTCCTCTTCCATTTGCATCTGGTGAATTTTAACAACAGCAACTAATAACAACCACAGTAATGATAGCAGCTAACATTTATCCAGGGCCTACTTATGCCAGGGAATATGTTTGGAGTTTTACATAATCCTTACAATCTGTTGGTATTACTAACTCTGCAATGCTTGTAACCAATCTACTCTACTGATCCCTAAATACTAGGCACCAAGAGACAGAATTACTTCCTACAATCTCTCAGGAGCATAGGTTGGAACACTAAGCTAAAGGTAACATATGAATGGAGCATATACTGGTACATTAGAAGGAGGCAGTAACATCGGTATGTCTGATTTCCCATGCCTGTCCCTTTAACAGGAGTGGGGAACGTCCGGCCTATGGGTCATATCATTTGGTCTGGCTCTGCCAAGGCAACCACAGGCAGGACTTGAAATTCAATAACTCTAGGCACTCTTTTCATAGTAACATAATTTTTAAGTTGATAATTTTGTATGGCCTGTGAATGATATTGTAAATAGCCAAATGGTCCTTGGCAGAAAAAAGGTTCCCCATCTCTGTTTTAGAAGGTACTTGGGGCTTGTGTCATTGCCCTGTCATCTGGAAATGTTTTTTCCCAGTTCAACAGACAGTCCTGGAAGTTTAGGCTTCATAAAACATGAAATGAAATGCATGATGAATAAGACAGGCTATCTCCCCATCTTTCTTAGGGAGAGATGACCTAGACTGAGTCTCAAAGGCTTGCTACTTAGGTGAAATGTGTACCCACACAACTCTAACAAATAGGGAGTTGGCAGTGGTTCCTTTCACTAGAAGGCCTTGGCCAAAAGCCCAGAAAACTGGTCCCAGGGTCCTCACCTGCAGTCTTGTGCTCAGACTGCTCCAAGAGACTGAGGAGTCGGCCTTCACTCCGGCCTTTTTCCTGTGGCAGAGATAAACAGATGAAAGGGAAGGGTTACCTCATAGCAGAGAATCTAAAATACAACTTCCTTAGCCCAGATCACACCTGTCTCCTAAGGAAAGAGGTGTGGAGGTACACCTCTAAGAAAGTCTTTTGCTTTCTAATAAATGAGGCTACACAAGTTAAAAAGCAAACCATGATGAAGAGAATACATCTTTATGCTAATATTATCTAAGAACGAATTCGAGCGAAGGCAAATTATTCCACCAAGATCATATTAAACACAAGTACCCTTTGACCTATGATAGATTTCGAGAGATTTAAAACAGAAAATGACAATTTTTAGGTAAATTCTAGGGGCAGTGATAAGAATAAATTGGCTCTATGGTATAAGCACATACCTATAAAACCCAACTCCAAATCACCACCACAAACCACCCCATTCATACAGGGGTTGCTTTCTTCTGTCATGATGGATAATGGCTTCTTCATCTTAGCATACAGTGATTGCTATGTAAGCCTATAACATGGAGCTGCTGTTTTATCTTTCTCTCTAAGCCAAGGCTTGCTCTTCCTAATCTTTAATCACAAAGCCCAGAAAGCACATCCATCTTCCCAGCAACCAGAGGCCAGAGCCACACCTCCCTAGGGCCAGGCACACACAGCATTCAAGAGAGCTGATCTCACATATCAGCAGTGGGGGGATGATTGGATAACCTTTCTGGAAAGCAATTTGACAGTATGTTTCACGAGATTTTTAAATGTGTATATGCATTGCTCTAAGAATTCCACTTCAGGAAATCTATTTTAAGAAAATAACCAGTGGTACAATGACTAACTAATGTTTTAAGCAATCTTCTAATACAGAAGAACTGGAAAGAATCTGAATGCTCAATAATGAAAATGATTACTAGCAAGTGACTGTGTGATACAAATATTAAGAGTAATTTTTAAAAAGTTTAAAAATAAACCAAAAAAGGTGTTTATGCTACAATGTTAAGTGTACACACACACACACACACACACACACACACAGTATGGTGCCAACTACATTAAAAATGCATAGAAAAAAAGACTGGAAAAATTATAGTTGATAATGTCCCCTGATTCCTCATACTTTTTAATTTATTTTAATTTTTTTATTATAGTATACATTCAGTATCTTCATACTTATAAAAAACTACTTCCCGTATTCCCTACAATGAACACATATTATTTTTAATTAAAAGAAAAAAAATTTTTAAAGCACAAATCTTGTTTCAAGAAAAAAACAGAAGAAAAGGAGGGAGAAAAAGAGAGGAGAAAAAACCCAGAACAGAACTGTGGAAGGTTTGGTAGCCTTTCCTGTCAAAACACTCCACATACCTTTGGGTTCCTCAGCCACTGCCACTGCTTCCCCTCCTCAGCTGAGTATACTTTCACACTTTCTGCAGGCCCATCTCCTTGGTCATCCCTTGCAAGCTGGAGACAGGACTCTACATGACTTTGGTACTCTTTAAATGGGACCAAGGATTTACACAGATAACACTTCTCATGCCTAGCCAATCAGAAGAAAGAGAGAAAAAGCAGTTTTAAGGTTTGCTTTTGCCACTGGGCTCCTGGATATGTCTCAAATCATGTTTTTATGTCTCAAAGTTATTCTGTGGAGAAGACATGTCAACCAATGCAGATTTGCTCAGCAGGGCCTCCAATAAAACTAACCCAATGACAATCAAAAGGACTGAGTGATTAGTGGTTTTCCCTGGCTGTTTCTCTGTACCCTGCTGTTGCAGCCGTGGGATGGTAATAAAATCAGCACTTCTAACTATCTCAATGTTGATTGCTCTTCAGACATAAAATATTCTGTCAAATTCTTCTGAAATTAAGTGTAATCGTTTTTTCAAAGGGAAGTTAAAATTTAGACAGAAAAGGGAGCACACAGAGCATTAAACCAAGATGACAACTTTACCAGGGTGGATGAACTTGTCTGACTAGTAAATCAAGTCTGTCCATATGCTGACTTCCTTAATTCTATAACCTGCAACATCAACTAGGAAGTTACCAAAACTATGTGGTTCCGCCAAAGGCTTCTGCATAATTTCATACACAGTTATTTTTATTGTTTTGTAACAGTTGAGTTTGTGGAAAGAGATGAAATTGTATCCTTGAGTAAGGCTAATTGGACATTGGTGAAAATGGAATCATTGAGAACAAAGGAAGAAAATGAACAAGTAAGTATTTAATAATGGTGGAAGGTGCTTTAAACACAATTTCTCAAACCCCAGCCCTACTAAGAAGGTACTTTTCTCCCCAAGGTTGTATAGCTATAATTGTCAGAAGCCAGGTCTGCCTGACTCAAGATCATCTCAGTTTTAAGAAGCTAAGAAAAACTTTTCAAAGTTTGCTATCTTAGACTTCTCTTTCTGGCCGTTACAACTCAATTACTACAGCCAGGGAAATTTGGATTGGCTCTAAGGAAGAATTTCTCTAGAGGTTTTTAAAATAGAAGAAATAAGTCTCAAGTATTTAATCATCTCGGAGAATGCAAGTAAAACTCTTCCTTATGAGAAAAGCAGACCAGTGTACCTTACACCGTTTATCAGGTAATGCAAAAAGCATTTATTAATCTCCTACTATGTGAAAGATGGCATCACTGAGGAAGGAGCATGTCAAGTAGGCTTTGTCAGTTCTGCCCTCATGATCACAACCAGTTACTTAAAATTTCTCTTCAGTCTCTTTATTAAAAAAAGAAAAAAGGATAACTGCCTTAAAAGCTATTGTAAGAGTTATATAGTAAATAAAGCACCTAGCACAATGACTGGTACACAGTATTAGGTTCTCAACAAATAGATTTTATTGTTGTTGCTGTCTCAGACAAATTTTATTAGATGCTGAAGAATAGAGTATGAATGAAGACAAGCATCTGCCTTCAGATAACTAAGAGCCTAGTCAGGGAAACAGAAATGTCAAAAATGAACAAAAGAAAATTACTGCAATACACTGTGATGAAGACAGTCCTAGAAGAATGTCCACATGACAGTAATTCCAAAAGGAGCCAGGGATGAACTCTGCTCAACTGGCTTAGGGAAGGAAACTCTAAAATGTAGGGTCTAAATCTGTGTTTCTAAGGTAAATGTTCCTGCCTAATGACTAACTGCTCTAATGTACTTTGGTAATGTCTTTACTGTTGGGAGAAAGCACTCAAACCCAACCCCTTAAAATGTGCTTTCTTGTCAAGTTGCAACCCACAACCCAAGGAAGTCTTTATTGCCCAACCTTTTGCAACTCAACTTCTGTTATCATTATATCACAAAATAGCTCACTGCTTCCCCAAAACACCAAGATGTAAATTCAAAGAAAAAAATTAATTTTAAAATTAGTTTAATGAAGCCAAAACGGTGGGGGGTTAAACTGTACATAATAAACGATTACACAGACATGCACACATTTTAAGTTATAAGGAATAAAGTTTATTTTGGCAGATGTTAAAATTAAAGTTGCAGACATTAGTAACATAACTCAGCATCCTTAATTTGGTATAAGTGTGACACATTTTCTTGCTTTCTTCTATTCTACTAAATCACCATACCTAAACTGTTTTATAAAACTAATATATTGAAATTTAGCTTTACTGTTTTCACTTATGCTCTGATTCTAAAGTAAGAGCAATGTGGAAGTGGAGTGGGTAGCAGGATTTTTTTAGGGTAATAAAAAGGGATATACAGAGACCACATACACTGACATAAAATGGAAATAATAAAAAGAAATTCAGGCATCCAAGCAACAAAGTGATTGGCAGGCCAAAGAAACCCAGGGTAAGAGAAAAATTGGTCTTTTTATTTGACCTAAAAACAGCATACATACTTACTTCTCAATGTCCAGGGAAGTCTGGGCCACTATCCCACAGTCCCTCTTGCTCTGGGCCTCTATTTGTCTGCAAGTCAACACTTTCAACAGAAAATGAAGAAAAACTATCAGTTAGCAGTAGACTCTGAATATAAAAGATACAATGTGTACGAAGAAGCAAAGTTTAAAATCCTACTCCACTGGGAGACATGCACTGTCTAAGAAACTTCTTTTTAGTACAGAGAATAATACCTGTAACATATGTACTGAAACTGCCAACTACAAGATATGTCCGTATTTGCTAATGAGATCTATTTATCCCTTATTTGCCATGAGACCTAAAAACCTAGTTCACACCAAAACAGGTTTTTGTGTACTACCCAACCTGCAGTATCTGAGGGAGAGATTTATACTTTTTCAACCAAAATTCTCACTGGCTTAAATTGAACTTATGGCAATTAAGGTCCATCCCCTATCCTCCCCAATCATCTTCAAATAAAATGTTTTCAAGCCCAATCTCCTAACTCTATACTTGGGTAACTACGCTGTTGTGTATTTCCCCCCTCCTCCCACTCCCTCCCCCCGCCCCCCCAGCCTAAACACAGAACTTTACATTTGTCCCTGTTTTTTTGTTTTTGTCTTTTGGGGTTTTTTTTGGTAATAGTTTACTGATTTTTAGAGAGAGAGGAAAGGAGAGGGAGAGAGAAAGAGAAACATCGAAAATGTGAGAGTATACTAGGAACATTTATGGGCAGTCTCCTGAATGCCCCCTAACTGGGCATGTGCCCTTGACTAGGAATTGAACTGGCAGCCTTCCGGTGCATGGGACAATGCCTGAACAACTGAGCCACACCAGCCAGGAATGTCTCTGTTCTTTCCAGGCGAACATTGCAGTCTGTCAAGTTCATCTGCAATATTGATTCTGTCATCTAATGTTATTAGCTCTCTTTTCCAGTTTTGTGTCATCTGCATATATGAAAGCATCTTCATCCATATTTACAGAGAATCTTCAATATGTGAGTAATTTGGGGAGATATAAGAAATTATGAGATGGGGTTCTTGCCCTAAGGAGCTTACAATGTATTAAGGGAGACAACATAACACCAAGTATAAAGAGATATGAATAAAACAAGATGATACACACAAGTAACTATTAATAGTGTTTGTCTCTGGGGGGGATGACAGTGACACTTGAGGACTGAATTAGGAAGATGGTATGTTTTTTTACCATGTACTTTTTGTACTGTTGAATTAAAAATTAAAAGGGAGAAAAAGAGAGCAGAGTACAGAGAAAGTAGGTAATCTATTTCTAAGGTTCCTTCCAACCCAGAGATTTTATAAGTAAAAATAAAGTACTGCAGGAGAAAAATATCCTGGACATAGTTGTATAGCCTTCAAATCCTCCTACTACTCTATCAGCCAGCCCACATTTCTCCATCTTATATACAAGGACTTCATGAGAGATTTTATCAAGGGCACTGCTAAAATCAATTCTTAAAAGGTTGGCACCTCACAGATTACAGAAACTTTTAAGGGTTGTTTTTTCTCCCTCTTTCCATTTGTTCCCCCATCTTGACTACCAAGTATTTTTTCCAAAAGAAATACTTGGAAACCACTCCACAGACAGGGCTGGGAAAAAAATTAATTGCTTCTAGCACTTTATAGATACCACTATTGCACTTAGCACATTTCTGTTGTTATTTGTTTGTATGTCAGTCTCCTCTCTACATCATGCAACTTTCTGAATTTAGAGATTCTGAGTTTTGTTTTGATCTCTTCAGCATCCTCAGCAAAATCTAGCACATATTAGACACTAATAAATATTTGCCAATTAAATCATAGCAATGGATTCAAGGGGGGAAAAAGAGCTCTTGTTTTTGAGGACCTGCTCTGTACCAGAGACTTTATAAAACTAAACTCAATCCTTAGAACAAAATCCTACAAGGCATATGTCATTATCTGTATTTTATAGATGATGAAATATTAAATACCTGATCAAGATCACAAAGCCAAAACAACAACAACAAACCCCAATACAAGTATGACTTAAAAGAAGCGTATGTTCTTCTATAAGAGCAGGCAGCCTCTCCTGGGAAATAAAAGGGTAAAGGATAAGAGAAAAAGTGGATAAGATAAGTAAGTGAGTAGGCAGGTAGAAAAGAATCTGAGGGGAGAGACTTGGCAGATTGCTGGGATCCACATGCTAATTCTATTATTTAATGTTAAAATAAGGACAGACCAGTATAAGTTTACAAAGGAACGGAAAAGTTGCTCTTAAAGGAGCTTCCAACTCCAGTTTATGAGGGTTGGGACAGTCACTTCAACTAGTGGCAGGCAGACAACTCAATATGAAATCGAAATCCAAAACCCTTGCTGCTGATGACAACAAGCCAAAGATTTCAAAAGGGAACAATGGAGTCTGAGAACAACTACCAGAAAAACAACCACCAGGCCAGGTAAGCAAAATGGAGGAGAGGAAGGATGTCACTAAGACCTGAGAGATGGAAACACCCTAAGGAGCTGCGCTATGGACTTGCCTTGGCACGGTTAAGACAAAAGGAAGCAGTAATGCCTGGTGGAATAAAGTACACTAACTTCAGAGTTGGACAAAATGGTGTCCAAATTGGGACTCTACTAGCTATTCACCATAGGCAAATAACTTAACCTGAGTATCAGTTTGACTTATCTACAAAATGAGATGATACAGCATCTACTTTCATGAGTTTTGGTAAGAATCACATCAGATAATCCAAATAAGCTGTAAGAGTTTCCAGCCCACAGAACGCACTCAGCAAACATAAGTTGTTAATTGTAATTATCATTATTATTCCTCCAGACTTACTTTTTAGCCTTAGCCAAATATTTAAACCCATCCTTAGGACAAGCACTTATCAGCCTGTCTAAAATTTGGGTTAGGTCTTACTTTTAAATGGTTCCCATACTGATTTGTACAAACAGAATGAACAGCAAATAATCAAAGAATTATAGAACAATTATCAATACTATGTAAATATCAGCACATTTGTTTCCAAAAATCCAAAGACAGGCAATCATAAATAAAACATATGGCCTACAACTATAACAGTGAAACAAATGGCTCCTTGAGGAGTAGATATTATATATACAAAGAAGAGAGATTTGTCATCTTCAATTTATCTCCCTCAACCTCAAAACCACCTCAGCAGAAAATAACAGGAGGCCACAGACTTGTGTATGTTCCTATTAAAAGTGCCCCTCCCCCAGCCAGGCACTTCCTCAGTGGGCTGTAAGAGGAAGAAGGAAAGGTGCACTTCACCTGCATGCTGCCTGCCTCAATGCTGCTGACCTCCCCTAAGAAACTAGCCTAATAGCAATGTGGCTATTTAAATTTAAATCTTAATTAGAATCTATACTAATAAAAGCATAATATGCTAATTAGACCAGCGGCCGAATGACCTTCTGGACATCCTTTCCAACGAGTTTCTGCATGAAGCCGTGGCAGCAGGGCCGAAGCAGAGGCTGAGGCAAAAGTGGTTAGCAGTGATCAGGCAGGCAGACAGAGTGGTTAGGAGTGATCAGGCAGGCAGGCGAGCAGTTAGGGGCGATCAGGCAGGCAGGCAGAGTGGTTAGGAGCTATCAGGCAGGCGAGCAGTGAGGGGTGATCAGGCAGGCAGGTGAGTGGTTAGGAGAGATCAGGGAGGCAGGCAGAGGCAGTCAGGGGTGATCAGGCAGGCAGGCAAAGTGGTTAGGGGCAATCAGGCAGAGTGGTTAGGGGCAATCAGGCAGGCAGGCAAGTGATTAGGGGCAATTAGGCAGAGTGGTTAGGGGCGATCAGACAGGCAGGCAGGCAAGCAGTTAGGAGTCAGCGGTCTCGGATTGCAAGAGGGATGTCTGACTGCCAGATCAGGCCTAAACCGGCAGTTGGATATCCCCCGAGGGGTCCCAGATTGTGAGAAGGTTCAGGCCGGGCTGAGGGACTCCCCTTCCCCCTGCCGTGCATGAATGAATTTCGTGCACCGCGCCTCTAGTTAAATATAATTTAAAATTCAGCTCAGTCCCATGAGCCATATTTCATATGCTCAATAGCCATGTGACTACTGGCTTTCATATTTGACCCCACAAATATAGAACATTTCTGTCATTACAGACAGTTCTATTGGCTAGCACTGCTCCTTTAAGAGATAACTAGGATAAAACTTGCCTTAAGTTTGTTTACCTTGACACCACAAGAAATCCAAGCCTCCCTGGCATCTCTCATACCCACATAACTCTAATCTGTCATCTGGGAGGACTTTTCTAATCTGACCCAATCACCCACTCCTACTCTCGAAATGACTCTGCCTTCTGGAATTCCTGTCAGTGATCAACAAACCTGCCCGCCCCCTCCCACCCCACCTCCCCCCATATTCTCAACCTCCTCTGAACATTCTCTTCATCTTCTTGCTCTCACTGAAAGATGGCTGTCCTCTGAGGATACTTCTTTGCCTTGTACCTTCTCAAATACTGGCTTGTTTCTTCTTCCTTACACCACAGTACTACTGACCTGGAGTTGGGGTAGATATCCTCTTCCTCCTCCTTGTTGCTTCCAGCCTACTGGAAAAACCTAGTTTGAAGCACAAATCAGGTGTTACCCCTGCTACCCAACCCTGAAGTAATCATAACCTATTCTCCTGGTCACCTGCCCTCCACCAGCCACCGACACTTCCTGACCATTCACTGAAAATTTTAATGTATCACTGTCTTTCTCTTCACCACTCCATCATTCTTGGTGATTTCAATATCTATATATTGTATTACACTGAAGCATATCAAGTTGTAGATTTTATAGGTTTCAACCTAAAGTATGATGCATCGAATGCTCTTGCCTCTCAGTTCCTTGATGACCATCCCAGCCTTTCTCAAGGGGGGTTCTGAGAGAGAAGTAAGCCTAATGCCCTAAGGCATACACTGTATGTGATGAGTTAATCTCTGTCTGCTACATTTAGAATGATTGGTACCAGTTTTGTACCATCATTGAGAGAAGTAGGATAACAATCTGTTCATTATCTATGTTTCGTGATTCCAATGAGAAACCCTGGTTGAGCTTGTCAATAATAATAGTGCCACTTGCAAGCTGACAATTTCAGATGTCCCATTTTCTGATAACCACCACTGTTCTTTTCTGACTCCCTCTAAATATCCTAACTCCAATAATTTCTCAGCCTCTCTAGGATATCTAATTCCAAACTATCACATTTTTCAGTGTTCTTTACCCTCTTATGTTCTCAATTTCCTTCTTCCCTAAGTTAGATTTCACAGTTATCTAACCATTCCCTTGAGTATTCCCTCAACTTATTTCTAATTTCTTTTGTACTCCCTGGCAAAACCCAATTTTGGTTAAATCCAGCACTCCACCAATTATTTGTTCCTACCTAAGCAGCACAACAGTGCCAACTGGGCTCACATTATATTTAAGTCCACAAACCTCAAGAGGCCCCTCAAGTACTGCCTACCAATCTTACTATGTTTCCATAGTCAGTAAATTCTTGTACTCTCCCAGAGTTTATTTCACATCTTCTCCACTATCCTCATACCTCCAATACCATCCTGACTCTGCTGTCATCATTCTTTTTTGTTTCAATATAAAACTTTATTGAGCTATAATTCATATATATTCAATAGTTTTGAGTATATCCACAGAGTTGTACATCCATCACATCAATTTTAGAACATTTTGTTAACTGAAAAAGAAATCTGTTCTTATTAACATTCATTCTCAATTTTCCCCCAAACTCTCAGCTCTAGGCAATCACTAATCTGTGGATTTGCCTATTCTGGCCATATCCTATAAATGGAATCATACAATATATGGGCTTTTGTAACTGGCTTCCTTCATTTAACATGTTTTCATGTTATAGCATGTGTCAGTACTTCATTATTTTTTTCTCCACTGTGGTTGCATGTCACATTCCCAACAACAATATACTGGGGTTCCAATTTCTCCACAGTTTTGCCAACATTCGTTATTTTTGGGTTTGTTAATAGCCATCCTACTGGGTATAAGGTATTATTTCATAGCGGTTTTTAACTTTTAATTCCTTAATGACTAATGCTGTTGATCATCTTTTTATGTGTATATCTTCTTTGAAAAAAGTATATTCAACTCCTTTGGTCTAATTGGGTTGTTTTTGTTTTCTCAGTTCATGAGGTATTGAATAATTTAGAGGTCTTAGAAAAACAGCCACTTATCTAATTCCTACTAGTACTTGTGTATAAAATATATAGCTCAATCTTTTCTTTAACAGCTGAAATTTTTACTTAAGCAATATGGCAATATATATCAAGAATTTTAAAATAACTCATATCTTCTGACCCATGAATTATACTTTGGGAATCTACTCTGAGGAATCATGTGAATTTAGATGAGGCTGTAAAATAAAGATATTTTATCAAAGCATTATTTATAACAATAAAAAAATTAAATAACCTAATGCTCAAATACAGGATAAAATACTAAGCAGGAATTCAAAATAAAGACTAAAAAGAAATATACTAAAATATCAACTAACTCAGTGGGTAGGAAGGGGGGGGTGTTGGGTGATGATTTCGGATGATTATTTTTCTATGTTGCCAATTTTCTTCAGGGAGCATATACCACTTTTCATTTAAAAATTTGTTTAAATATTGACACCGCAATATTTAAAAAACAAGTCTAGGCAAGGATCAACAGTGACCTTTATCAAGGTTCCTACGAAAGTGAAATGAATGACAATGGGACATAATACAAATATGTGAGCTTTTTAAAATGTTTTATAATATGTACAAAAGAATATATATGCAAACCAATCATCCAACTTAAGAACTAGACATTACCAAAACCAATTAGCTGTGTGCTTCTTCCTGATTCCATCCTTTATCTCCACACAAGCAGCCTTTATTCTCAAAACTGTTATTACTTTGCTCTTATACCACACAGTTTTACCATAAATTCTTAAAACAATATATTGACTATCATATTGGATTTAGTATTCTCAAACTTTTTTTAATCTGAACTTTCATGGATGACTCTTGGGAGCGTAAGCTTTTGAATTAAAGCTGACTGTATATCCCAGCTCTAGCTGCTTTCTAAGTACTGTATGTGATCTTGGGAAATTATTTTCCTGCCAAGCCTCAGTTTCCTCTTTTATAAAAGTGGAATAATATCTGCTTCAAAAGGTTGTTCTGAGAATTAAAACAGAATATACAAAAAGCATAGTTCCTAGTATATAATAGGTGCTCATAACTGGTAGCTATTGTTGGTTACAATTAGGTATGATTTACAAAGATTTGGCAAATTAAGTCCTTTTGCTTAATGGAAAAATAACATCTTGCTATTAAGAGTTTCCTTTATATTAGGCCCTTAGAAAATTCCTTATTAGCAAGTCAGTCTATGAATGGTCAATCTCCACAGCCACCACAGAAGTAATTCTAATCGTTTGTTTGATCCTTTGACTTTGCACATATGCTTTTACAGAGGTGACTTATGTCACATTAACTCAGTTTACTAGGAAATAGTCTGAATCCATCAAACTGTTTCTTCCAGGTAACTGAAAAGCTGACAAGATCAAGTCTGATAAGATAAGATTCCATGTTTGCATTCAGGGGTGTCCTCAGACTTTGCCGTGACTATGTATATCCTCGTCTCCACATATGGAAAGGCAGATAGAACATAATAATGAAGAGCGCTAGCTCTGGAGTCAGGGAGACCTGGGCACGGGCCCCAGCTCTGCTGCTTATTAACTGACTAGAGGCCTGTTGCATGAAAAGATTCGTGCAATAGGCCTTCCCTTCCCCTGGCTACCGGCACCGGTTTTCCTCTGGCACCCGGGACCCAGGCCTTCGCTCTGGCTGGAGCCACCTTCAAGCCTTCGCTGCTCCGGCCAGAGCTGTCTTCAGTCTTTGCTCCGTCGCTTCGCGCCTACGTATGCAAATTAACCGCCATCTTTGTTGGCGGTTAATTTGCATATCTCGCTGATTAGCCAATGGGAGGCATAGTGAAGGTATGGTCAATTACCATGTTTGTCTATTATTAGATAGGATGCTGGACAAGTACTGAACTTCTCTGATACCAGTTTCCTCACAGGTAAATTGGAGATAACAATAACACCTGTAAGGTAATTATAGTCCTGACAGTTCTAAAGGAGATGACTGATCTAATATTAATTCCTTGAACTTTCTTTCTTAACATGCTCTAAATCAGCAATTTTCAACCCTTTTCATCTCATGGCACATATAAACTAATTATTAGAATTCTGCAGCACACCAAAAATATATTTTTTGTCGATCTGACAGAAAAATAGGTATAATTTTTATTCATTCACACATGACGGCTACTGTTGTGTTGGCTGTTGTCATTTTTTATTTGACAATCTAAGAGAAAAGAGGTCAGTGCCCCTGACTAAATAGTCAGGTATTGATGATTTTTAAATTCTTGCAGCACACCAGTTGAAAATCATTGTTCTAGGTGCCTAAATTAAGAGGTATGACTAGATCATAAAGTAAGAGAACTTCTTTAAAGTGGTTTTTAGCTGCTAATATTCTTTTAACACATAATACTTTGGGTATTAACTCAGGTGTTAATAAGAGCTATTTTATTTTTCAAGGAAGGAATACACACACCTAGCAGAAAAAAAATTGCTAAAAGAAATCCTGAGGCCTGGCTCTTCAGCAGCAAGGCACAGTGAGTAGAAGTAAGCAAAGACAGTCAATATTGAGGAACAAGAGATGGGAACAGCAAAGGCACTGAGGACTCAAGAAGACACAGATTACATTCAGACTGCCGTTTCACATACCACATCATACAGCAACTTTATTGATGCACCATAGTGGAGCTGCTTATGAGGAAATGTTCCACAGAGAGGTTGAACAAAAGTTTTCAGAAGAAACTAAGATGACCCCTATATCAGGCCACCACTTCCTATCTCTTAGCTTCCTCCTTCCATCATCAATGGCAATGAATTCTTTACCCTTTCTCCTTGCTGCTCACTCCCCTTCTTAATTCTGGATGGATTCTAATACTCTTTTTCTCGTATCAGTGCCACTTCTATTCACACCGATTAGATCTTTCTGCAGGATCAGCACCACTTCTGCCTCAAGAAATAAAAGCTTTGACAGCATTCACACAAGTAGGGGGTTGCTGCCCCAGCTGCATATATCTGGAAACTTGGTAAAAACTGATAGGTGGGTGGGAAAATTTTGGAAAGCACCTTCAAAGCAAAAGGCAATTGCCTTATAAAGAACTCATATAAACTGATAATAAAAATACTAAGAAACTGCCCTAGCCCGTTTGGCTTAGTGCAGCAGTTCTCAACCTGTGGGTCACGAACCCTTTGGTGGTCGAACGACCCTTTCACAGGGGTCGCCTAAGACCATCCTGCATATCAGATATTTACATTACGATTCATAACAGTAGCAACATTACAGTTATGAAGTAGCAACGAAAATAATTTTATGGTTGTATCACAACATGAGGAACTGTATTTTTTTTTTCAGTTTAAGTTTTTAATGAAAGTTGTATATAATATTACTTTATTCCTGCATCTTCTCAATTGTTTCTTCCTTGTATTTTCCCTTTTCCTTTCCTAC